CACCATCGACCGCGATGGATGTGCTCGAATCACACTGTCGCCGACCTCGATGGTTGAGCTCCTCCTATCTCCCGCCGCAGACTAATGATTGACCTCCTATGACGCCGCCACCGCCCATTGACTGAGGATTGACCTCTTCTCCGGTAGCCGCCGCCGCCATCTCTACATATAGAGCGGCTGTTTTATTTTTTGATGGATATCCACAGAGAGGTTGTTTACACGGTATTAACTCAATTATATGTACAAGGTAGTACATCACATACGATTATGTAACGGCAACCGTGTCTCACCTATGTTGTCTTCTCACACGGTTTGGTGCGGAAATCGTGTGTGAAGTTGTAATACCTAACACAAATGACATGTATTAACAGTGGGTTGTATACAACATATAGTGCCATAAGTAGTTCCCGGCCGTTAGCTTATCCCTGTAGTTTCCCCATTTCCCCCAAATCCCTAGATAGCCTCCAAATTCCCTCACGTGGCGCTGACATTGGAGGAATGCGGACGAGTGGTGTTGATGGTTTCGGTGCGGCTGCTCCTGCTCGTATCGCCGCCATGACGGCAATCGCCGGTGAGCACTTGCCTAAGGTCTTTAGAAGGCGGGTGTACTACGGATCCGAATCATCCTGTCAGGTTCCAATCTATCCCGATCTTTTTTAGCATGTCTAAATTAAGTAGCTCCTTGTTGAATCCATCCTAAATGACCCCCCCCCCCACCAGGAAAGCGATTTGTCGCCGGATCCGGGGCATGACTCCAGACTCCCGCAACACGAGTTTGACTCCAAGTTTTGCGCCACCGAGAAGTACCAAAAGCTAAGTTGTGTGCACGGGCACACTCCCGCTCGACGTGTATGCATGGAGGGATTCAACATTGGCAGGCGGTTCTCAGTTGCCCCTTAGAGGTTAGTGCTAGATTCATCATTTTACTTGAGTTAATGCCACCGCTCATCCTGAATACTATTTAACATTGGTAGGGATATGAGGCTTGTGCCTTTGTTAACTGGCTGGATGAAGAATGGCATGGCAGAGCTCGGAGTGTTATCACCAAGCTCGCAGAAGATAACGTAAAGTTGAAGAAGAAACTAGCTGATCTGGAATGTACAATCAGTACGATGAAGCAAGAAAGAATCAACCACAGTCAACAGATGAAAGCAAGAGACAAGAAGGAACTAGCATGTGTAGTTGTGGTTGTCGCATTAGCCATGTTCTATGCTTTATTTAAAATGATGATTAGGGGTTTTGTTTGAAAGTATTGCTAAAGCACATCTAGATGTGCTCTAAGTAACGCACATCTAGGTCCTATGCCATTGATGTTACGTGAAGATTCGTGCAGATATTTTCCTTTGTATTTTTTTTCTTTTCCTTTGTAGTTTGATTATTACTCTCTTTATCTATAACAAGAGCTCAATGTATTGCTTGCCAACTGTCCTACTCCGTTCGTACCGGTACCGGTGCATAATCCCAAAACTCATTCCTCGTTTTTGTCCTGAAAAAAGAAATCAGCCAATAGGAGTCCTACGCAACCCCGGGAATTTGGAGCGACTAGGTACAAATAATTGTGGTTGATTATATCAGCGGTTAGATAATACGTCAACCCCCGGTTTTATTGGCAATTCCTCTTCTCTACATACTCTGCTTAAGTGTCCACCATCTTCATCGTCCCTGGCAGGCTGCACTACTCACTTGCACACACTCTACAATCTTGCTTTCTCGCGGTTTTTATACGACCGAGGCCATGTCGAGCGACAGCAAGGATGACAGTTCGTCCAGCAGCCTGGCGCCCGATGATAGGTCAACATCAGAATCATCCTGCTTGTCTTCCATGAGTCCGTCGTCGAGCCCAGACCTCGACTATATCCGGATCATGGAAGGGGCGCCGCCTCCAGAGTCGTCAGACGACAACCATACGGACGAGGAGACGTCGGAGGACGAAGAAGAGGACGATGATGATGAGGAGGAGGAATAGTCAAACGAGGAGGAGGACGAGGATGACAGCAACGACGATGACGACGGTGGTGACGATGAAAAGCCAACGGTCAGCGGCAAGAAGTGTCCTCGCCAAGACAATGTCGCGGGGCCATCCAACAACAACAACAAGAAGAAGGACTAAATTAAGCAGACTATATATATCTCTGTTTCCGTTCGCTCATATTAATTTGTTATCTCTGTTTACCCTGTCAATCTCATCGCAGACGGTTAGTAATACGTATTCGATAGAGATCTTCTATATTATCGCCCATAGGTTGGTTTGTTGAACTGTGTGCCCTAACGAGCACACAATTCACAAAAAAATACCGTCTGGGCTGTCTATAATGATCGCACACAATTCTGATTACCGACATGTCTGCTGGGTATCACACATCTTGTTACGCCAATCGTTTGTGTTCACCTTGATCATCGCAAACGGTTCATCGGAGCGAACTGTGTGTCGTATATCGCACACACCTTGATCATATAGATCAACCATATGCCCCGCATAGCACACGCAACTAAAATTTGAACCATATTTGATGTGTCATTCATCTCAAAAGTTTTGCATCTTTTTTGACGTTTTTTACATCATCGTTTCTGATTAATGCATCACACGCAGTTTCGTCAAAGGGTCTCTGATCATAGTGTCACGTTAGCAGCATCCTGCAGTAGTGTCCTACAACTCCATGAAGGTGGTGGTCATTGCAAGATCTTCGAAAGTGTTCATCTCAATATTTAGTGGTTGACTTTGGTAGTGAGGTGCAAATTATGGGTGACAACTTGACGCACAGGAACAGTTGTGCAGTGGCGGCGGTTGCACCACATGTAGCTGCTTGGATCGTAAAAAAGTGGTGGCAACAACACTTGCATGACTTCGATGGTGGTGCTACTCGAGCACCTGGTTGCAACAAGTGGGGTGAAGCCTAGGTATGACACGAGCTGTTTATACCTGGCAATGACGATGTTTTTTTACGCCGTTACCTTGTGGAAGGCATTGCTCTAATATGCTCCAATTGAATCTTCAGGGTGAAAACCTAGATTCTGACATTGATGGTTGGATCCGATGATGACGATGATATTCTTTAAGGCGTTGCAGTTGAAGAACCTCCTTGTCTGGGTGATGTCATGATATGTTGGTGCAGATATGGTGTTATTGTAGTTTGTCGATCGTAGATCTGAGCGCTTTTGGTTTTTCTTTTTTCCTCGGCTATGCATTACTTTGGTCTTATATGACTTTACTATTTGGCGCCATGTTTTTGTGTGTGCGCGTTGATTTTGGCTGTGTGCATCCTAGTTATACAAAGGACAATGTGTGATCTTTGGGTTTGTATCCTCTTAATGCTCCTTTTTGAGCCAATAAAATTCACCCTTTGTCGAAAATGTGTGTATGGTAATTGGTTTGAGCCAATTCTTTATACTTGTCACCAATTGGCATGCCAAATATTGGCATCAAATAATTTAGCCTTGTAATCTTGTCATTCAGTTTGCATAATAGATGTACTCATGACCTAATCCTTTGTGGGCCTCTTTCGATACAAGTTCAATATAGCAAGGTTATGATGTGCCATAAAAATGCCCCAACAACGTAGAAAGAGGACGATCCCTGTCATAAATCTGGCTAAAACTATTAATTTTGTTTTGAGCCTCAATTACATGGATACATGTCGTAAACCAGAACAGATGTACAACACACACCCCACATGCACGCACGCACACCACTACATAAACCCGCTATGCGTGTAACAAGATGTACAGTCTGTACATACACGACACGTCTCGAGAAACTTCCAAACAGTTAACCTCTTACTTTCTATCTTATCGAGTGGAAGAACGACCCCCGTTCAATAAAAAAGTAAGATGCGTAAAACCTTTTTCGAACAGATATGGAACATGTAAAAAGTGTGCAACTGAAGTGAACGTTCTAGTGAAATTTCCGTTAAATATTACTCTGAAACTTTGGGAAACTTGACATAATTTGTTGCTAGAAACTTATGAAATCATAAAAATAAGACCAACCAATATCTCATACAAAAAATACTATCATTTGTGAATATGCTATGAATAACTTGTAGAATAGAAGAGAAACATACAGAAGAATGGTGTGATAAAAAAATACAATGTGTGATTACAAATAAAGGAATATATAGGTGGCACCGCAAGGGGCTGAAAGAACATGGTTCATTGTGCAGCAAAAATACGGTCTCAAAGCAGCAGGTTTGTTGGTACACGCACGCTGTCATTTGGGTGCAAATTAAATGGTGATTCTTAAAAAAAATGAGACCAACCCAAGGCTAACCCTCCTTGGCTTTTCTTGATAGGAGAAACTGCGCGAGCACCAGCGTCCAAGCCGGGACTTAAACTCGGATGGACTGGCAGCAACCTCAGCTGCCCAGCCAACGGGTCGACGCCCCATCCTCTAAATGGTGATTCTTAATTAGTTGGGGATGGAGCACACGCTCCTGACCTGACCCTGAGAGCCAGTCAACGGGCTGAGGTTGGCCATCTTCACCATGGCGGATGCGAAGTGCTAAAGAAGGCGGCCTAGCTAGAAGCAAAGGACTTAATGATGTCCTTGGTGGCATAGCCGGCTGCGGTGGCGTTGTACAACACCTGGTCGGAGTGAAGGAGGCCCTTCTCGGACTGGAGGTTGATGAAGTAGTCGTTGTTGAACAAGTCCGGGTTCGGGGCGACCGCTGTGTCGTCGTCGAGCGGGGCCAGGTTGGTGTTGCCGCCGGACTGGGGGCAGTTGAGCTTTAGCTTGGTTGCGTAGGTCGTGTTGATGTTGGACTCGTTGTAGTGCCTGCCCCTGAAGTTCTGGCACTGCGCCCTCCCGATGGTGTGGGCGCCGGAGAGGGCGACCATGTCGGTCAAGTTGAACCCCTTGCTGACGAAGCTAGCATTGAGGCCGGCGACTCCCAAGAACGGCACAGGCAGGTTCTGGTTGGCCTGTGTCACGCTAGCCGTGGTGGAGTCCCTCCTCCCCAGTTTAACCTCCCACGACGGCCCTCCCACGCATGCACGATTATTCGTCACCCTGGGTGAGGAATAG